TTTGAGTTTATATATATTTCTACCAAAGTAAGCACATGCTTTTGAGCTATTATAAATCCTGCCGCTGCTGCTCTGAACACTAACATCCATTTTTATTGGGATATGATTATTGAGGGGCAGAACTGGTGGGTCATATGGTACCACGATATTTACCCTATTGAGGACTTGCCAGACTATTATGGAAAGTGTCTGCAGCATTTTATAATCTCACCATCAATGTCTGAGGATCCTGATTTCTCCACATTTTCATCAGCACTTGTCTTTTTTGTCTATCTTAGAGGGTACGAATTATTGTGTTTTTCTGATGGCTAAAGATGTGCTTATTGTTCACGTGTATATCTTCTTTGGAGATATGTCTACTCAGGTCCTTTGCCTATTTTTTAATTGCATTGTTTGTTAAATTTTAGGACTTTTCTCCTTATTTCAGATAGTAATTCCTTATCAGATATATGCTTTGAAAATATTTTCTCCATTTCTGCATATTTTCTTCACTTTCTTGATGGTATCTTTTGAAGTGCAAAAGTTTTTAATTTGAAGGAGGTCCAATTTATCTGTGCTTTCTTTGGTCACTTGTGCTTTTGGTATCCTATCTATAAAACCATTGCCTAACCTCAGGTCACAAAAGCTTAGATCTATGATTCATTTTGAGGTGATTTTTATGTAAAGTGTGAGGTAAGGATCCAACTTCATTACTTTTGCATGTGAATATCCAGTTGTCACAGCACTATTGGTTGGAAATACTAAGAATAGTTAAGATTTCATAGAACAGCATGTGCAAAGGCATGGAGGCATGAATGCATGAATGCCCAGGAATAGTGACTACTTCGTCTTGACTGTAGGATTGGACAAGTAGGGTTATTTCATAATGAGTGAGACTGGAAAGGCAAATAAGGTTAGATTATAAAGGGCCTTGAGTGCCACAAGGTGGAGAGCTATGGAAACTTCTTAGACAGAAGGATATCATCAGAATCAGTCTTTCAGAAGATTGATCCAGCTGCAGACTATATACTGGATGAATTCGGGGAACGGCTGTAAGAAGAGAAGTCAGGTAGTGGAGTTTCTATAGTGATCTACATCAGAGGCTGTAAGTAAGGATGTGCTAGTGAATGAAAAAGGAGAACTGGTGTGTGAAAATATAATAGAGGTTTCACACACACAGGTCTTGGTAACTGATTGGATGATGGGAACAGATTGGCAGAGACCTGGGAAAATAGTTCCATTCCCAAAATACAGTACAGTCAGGAGTGAATTCACACACTGGAGCAACCAGTGTGGCTAGAGTGACAGGGATGATAGGTTAGCTTTTAGACATACTCTCTTGACAATTTGAAATATTCTTAGTAGTGCATTCTAGAAATCATTTGGAAATGCACCTCTGAGGTAGAAGTCCAAGTTCAAGGGAAAGATTTGGGAAACATAACTTCTGAATGGCACTCAAGCTGAGTAGCAGGGTTAGGAGCTATACATTCTTGTGAGGAATGGGAAGCTTGTACTTCCGTCTAAGAGTATGCAGGATGTATAATGTTTTGTCTGTAGAAGAGTCATCATTTAAACAAAGTTTATACATCCCATATTTGCTAGTATATTTCCTTCAATCGTGTGATTATCTGTAGGAGGCACCCATGCAAACACTTAAATTCTTTTCTTTTTGGTTCTCTTTGTGTCTTCTCACAACACACATTTTACTATGCTTTCTGAAATCTGTATTTTACCACCCCCAAAAAAATATCATGTCATTTTCTCATTAATCAAGAACAAGATTGGGTAGGATGGTATGTACCTGTGATCCCAGCACTCAGGAGGCTGAGGCAGAAGTTTTGTGAGTTCAAGGCCAGCCTGGGCTACATAGGGAGATGGAGGCCAGCTTCAATCTACACAACAAGACCCTGTCTCAAAAAACCAAGGATAGGCGGTATAGGTCAGTGGTAGAATACTTGCATATGCAGGGCCCTGGGTTCAATCCACATGTGCATGCGAGTATACACACACACACACACACACACACATGCACAAACACACAAAGTTATTAACAGAACCCTCTTCCTTTGGTACTCACCATAAAGACACATAGTCTGTTTTGTTTTGTTTTGTTTTGCAGTACTGGGGCTTGAACTCAAAGCCTTCACCTTGAGCCACTCCACCAGTCCTATTTTTATGATGGGCTTTTTTGAGATAGGGTCTCATGGAACTATTTGCCTGGGCTGGCTTCAAGCCGTGATCCTCCTGATCTCTGCCTCCTGAGTAGCTGGGATACAGACATGAGCCACCAGTGTCCGCATCTTTTCTTAATGGTCAATATTTTGGATATAAGTAAGCCAGTCATATGGTTTAAATAAGTCTGCAAATAACACAGGAGTTAACAACACAAGTTGTGGGAATGCTGTCCAAATAAGGCCTATAATGTTGACCTACGACAGGTACTCAATTAAATTTGATTCATTAAATGACTTGGCTAGACCAGTATATCCTACAAATCTTTACATATTGTAGGCAAGGAGAATTCTCTAGAACCTCTGCTCCTCACTCCCTGTGTGCCAACATAGAATCCTCTCATAAGAGAATCTTCACCCAGGCTTATGACAAACCTTTGTCCTTTGACACTCAACTTTTGTTTTGTTGTTCTGTTTTCTTTCCCAATAATGCCTGTTCTGTGGAATAGGAACCAGTCTCTGTCTGGCCTTGTAATGTCCAAAAAGTTATTTCTAATACAGAGCTGGAGGTGTGGCTCAAGTGGTAGAAGAATGCCTGCCTAGGAAGTGCAAAGCCCTGAGTTCAAACCACAGTACCACCAAAAAAAAAGTTAATAAAGTTATTCATAAAAAAAAGATTATCCATCTGACTTCTTAGAGCTATTCAGAATCAATCATTTTTACCTGCACTTCTAGGAACATGTATTTGTGTCTCTGTGTTTGTATGTAGCTTGATGCATCAATCTTTAAGGATCAGAAATTTATCTCCAAATCTATTATGGCTTTGGCAATTGTGAGTTCATTTTAATCATCTTGAATTTCTTTTTGTCATTTGCCAGTACTACCACCCCCAACACAATAGTGCTTCTTTTCAGTTGACTTGGTTCTACCTGCCAAGCTTTAAAAGGTAGGCCTTAGTTTTGTTGGATTTTATAGTCTTCTATTATTTTCTATGGATTTTCTCTTTCAAAATATTTTCTGAATTCTTATATGGAAGCCTCCCAGTTTGCTAATACCGTTTTTTAAAAACTACCCACATTTTAGGTGTTGTGTGTATTTTATATAAAAAGAGAGTTGGCCAAGCCCTTTTGGCTTCCACCAAGAGAACCAACAGACTTTTTCAGTCTATTTCATTTCCAGTCCCCTTTCTGGTGATGTGTCCAGCATCTTATCAGGTTTCAGAATTGCAAGGGTATAATAGGTAATGACTTCCTTGTTACTTTCTTATATTATAATAGAAAAAGAATGATAATAGGTAATATATATTTAGATTAATTTGAAATGCCTATTCTGAAACCATTTTCCAAATGTCTATCACTGCAGATCATGTATGCACATAACTATGTATTTAACTTTTCATTGTTATAACAATAAATTTGCAAAAGTTGCAAAGTCCCATACACCCTTCCACAACCTCCCCTGGTGTCAGCATCTTCCAGTTGTTACACAATATCCTTATAGCTTATTCAGACTTCATCATTTTTACCTGTATTTCTAGGTAGGTGTATTTGTGTGTGTGTGTGTGTGTGTGTGTGTGTATCTTGATGCAATCTTGCCACATGTGTAGTCTTATGTAGTCACTATCACAGTGAAAACACTTAACCTTACCATCACTCCAGGACTCATTCAGTTACTTTTAATAGCCACACTCATCTCCCCATCTCTGGTTGCATTATTTCACTATTATTACATTCTATGTAATATACTATTAGTATATGTAATGTATGATTATACTATTAAAATCATGTAGTATGCATCCTTTTGAGATTGACTTTAGTCACTTATTCTAACTTCCTTGAGGCTCATTCAAGTTGTGTTTCTTAATAGTTAATTCCTTTTCATTGCAGTATAGTACTTCTCTGGTAGGGATGTGCCACAGGTGTGGAGTTTTGTTGTTGTTTTATAGTTGGCAATTTGCTTTTGTTGTTACTATTGTTGAGGTTTGGAGGGTTGCTATTAGGTTTTTTTTTTTTCAGAGCTGGTAATTAAACACAGGGTCCTTGTGCATGGTAAGCAGAGCCACAGTTTTTAAAACTATTCCCCCTTAGAAGGACATTTGGAAAGCTTATAGTTTGGAACTTTAAGAAATAAAGCAGTTAGGTGCACTGGAATACAAAGTCCTGAGTAAAAATAAGTCTTATCTTGGGATAAGTACCCAAGAATATGACTGATGGGTCATATGGCAAATCCATTTTTAGTTTGAAAAGGAAAAACCAAACTATTTTCCAGAGTTAGGTTTTTTATTTTTGGAATTTAATTATGACTCAACCCCTAGATAGATATTCTACTGTTTACCTGTTCCTGATGAGAGAAGTATCCTAAAGTCCATGGAGTCAGATGAACCTGGATTCAAATCCTGATTCACTCACTTGTTAGCTGGGTGAACTTGAACATATATCTAACTTTTCTGAGTCTCAGATTCCCAATTTGCAAAATAGAGACAATAATGCTTGAGACAGGAAGGACTTAACCACATCAACATCTAAAATGCTGAGATTAGAGTGTTTGGTGCACAGTCATGAGTTAGTGCTAGCTCTTTCTTCTCCCCATGGCAAAATAATAATCAAACATTACTTTTAGTTTTTACGGTATTAGAAATTACAACTAACTTTAAAAATCCAAAGATATTATACTACTTTTACTCATATTCCTTTTTACCAAATAAATTATCTTGAGTAGGTTTATTATGCATATTTCCTTGGTAAAACTAGTTTCCCTTTCTTCCTATCAGTGATACTTCCTGCAATTTTTGGAAGCAAAAACTAGTTGGTGTCTCTCCATTGTACTCTGTCTTTTCTTTTTTCTAGGTCAGTGAACAATTTCCTGATGACTGGCCCAAAGGTAAGAAAACATTTCTTTGATTCGGATGTCACTAATCTTAACTTTCTGACTAAAGATGATCCATGGCAGTTTCTTTTCACCAAATCCACATCTTTCACTATGTTATAATATGTACTACAAATAGAAAAACTGAGGCACAGAGAGTACCTCAGTTTGGGACATACCCAAAACCACATGGCAAACTAATGTCAGATCCCAGATAAGAGCTGAAGAGTACTGATTCTGAACCAGGCACTGTGGCTCACGCCTGAAATCCTAGCTACTTGGGAGTCTGAGATCAGGATGATGGAGGTCTGAGGCCAGCCAAGGCAAATAGTTCACAAGACCCCATCTCCAAAAGAACCAGAGCAAAATGGCCTAGAGGTGTGGCTCAATTAGTAGAGCACCTGCTTTGCAAGCACAAAGTCCTGAATTCAAATTCTAGTCCCACCAAAAAAAAAAAAAAGAGTACTGATTCTGACTATGGCCAGAATTTCCAGAACCAGAAAAGTGGCCAGGTGTCAGGATGCAAAGTCACACATACTTCTCCCGCAGAGGTGGGATCAGGTCCTATGTAGTGCTGGAATTACACTACATGATCACTTCGTGGAAAGGCATTCCTAGATCCAAAAACAGCATTTTCCAAGAAAGTAATGGGATGAGATCTGCTGAAAATTCATGAATTATGTAATTGGAGTTCATTTTGGAGAGACAGCTTAATATATTGAATAAAAGCTAGTGAGAACTAGAGTCTGATAAAACTGACTTTCAGTCCTAGTTCTGCCATTTGCAAAGTACTTTATTTCCCCTCTCTTAGCCTCACTTTCCTAATCTATAAAATGGTCCCCGTTTCACAAGGTTACTTGCAATACTAAATGAGACAGCGTAGTAAAGTACTTATTCAGTCATTATTTTGGAGGGATGGACAGGAACAGAGGTGCATGGCCAGTTTGGGGCAAATGCCTCCTAAGCTTGGACTAAATTTTGACCCCATATTTCTGTAGGCTTACCTGATCTACTCCAGCAGTGTGGCAGCTGGTGCCCAGAGTGGTATTGAAGAATGCAAATACCAGTTTGCCTGGGACCGCTGGAATTGCCCTGAGAGAGCCTTGCAGCTGTCCAGCCATGGTGGACTCCGCAGCGGTAAGGAAAATCTTGGCTACAGCAATCTGGACCCCCAGGTCACAGATTTGGAGCCCTGGGCATGATCCCCTTCCTCTTCTACACACTTGATTTTCATCTGGTCTCTTCTCTCAGGACATCTTCCTCTTCTGAGATCTCTCTCTCCTTCTCCACCTCCTTTTTCCTATTTATAGTTTTGTTCTTCCTTCCAAAACACCCTCACCACTCAATTAATGAACCTTACCTCCCTCCAATACTATAGCATGCTCAGTCACCCATTGGCTAAAGGTTTCTTCACAATATAAGTTACATCAGGAGATAGGTCAGGAACCGAATTCCTCATGTCTGTTGGCTCCTGTCTTTAGCAGGCCCTGTAGAGAGGACTGGGCAAGAGGAAACTTGGAGAATGGATTCCTATACAGAAGCTAAATAGTGATCATGCCACTAAATAAAAGAACTGCAAATCTGAGTTTCTTTTCTTTTCTTTTGCAGTACTGGAGATTGAACTCAGGGCCTTCACCTTGACCCACTCCACCAGCCCTTTTTTGTGATGGGTTTTTTTTTTTTTTTTAGATAGGGTCTCACAAATCCAGGCTGGCTTTGAACAGTGATCTTCCTGATCTCTGGCTCCTGAGTAGCTAGGATTACAGGTGTGAGACACCAACACCCGGCAGAGGTTCTTTAAAAGTCTAACGGTGCATGCCTCTTAGATGCCAATGTTCCAGGAGGAACATTTTACAACCTGCCCTTTACATTCATATCCATCCCCATTTCTTCCTCAGGCTCTTTCCCACCTAAATCCTTTAAAATCAATATGTCAATAATGGTCTAGCCACCTATCATCAAATGTATGATCTGAAAAGATGAGAGAGAAGAGAAGGGCTGAGGCCAGGGATGGAACAGACCATGGAAGAAAGCAAGCTCTATTATGAAGAAAGGGAAATAGGACAGAGTTGGGGAAAGGCGAGTATAAGCATAGCATTAAAGGAAAATAGTATGACTGGCATGTCTTTGGATGGCAACCTCTCACTCTCACTCTTGGGATCTTTGATTTCTGCCAGCTAATCGGGAGACTGCGTTTGTTCATGCCATCAGTTCTGCTGGAGTCATGTACACCCTGACTAGAAACTGCAGCCTTGGAGATTTTGACAACTGTGGCTGTGATGACTCCCGCAATGGGCAACTGGGTGAGTAGAGGTGTGGGAATGAGGAACACAGGCCAGGTAAGTTCACTTACAAGAAAGAAAAACTTGGTGAGATAAAGTTGTGTTCTAAATATGAGGAAAATCATGTTGAAGTTGGGTGAACCAGTCTGAGCCCAAACTCTATAGTGACAATTCAGGCTAAATGTAATTTGGTGCCCTCTTCTCTCATTGAGTGATTTCCTTAAACATCATTATGACCATCATTATAATAATAACTGAACAACATGTCTTGCCGGCTCAATCATCTGTTCTTCCTCTCAAACACAGCATCTTTTCTAGCTATCCCCTTGTACTCCCACTCTTTACCTCCACTGAGTTCTCTGTGCCCTCCCGCTCAATTTCCAACTTCTTTATTCCACATTGTCTCAGTTGCGCCCCTCTTCCTCTTTCCACGCTTGGGTTAGCCTTCTTTTTTGCACCACGTGGCCGCTTCTGGACCTCAATCACCCCCAGGACACGTGCAGCTCTTTTACCACTAAGCCGAAGCGCTGGCCGAGAACCCACTCAGCAACTAAATACGTCATGAAACCTTGAGCAGGGGATTGGCTGAAGCTGGATCTCAGCTGGTCCCAGCCTCAAAGGCGGCAAAAACAAATCTTCTAGACTGAAACTAATCCGGAAACAGGGCACTCGCCCAACCTAATCCTTTCCTATTCCAGACCACCACCACCCCCAACCCAATTAGAAACAGCAGCCCAGGAAGCTCCGTGCCCGCCTGCTTAATGACCTTTCCCGCCCCTGCACTTTTCCAGGGGGGCAAGGCTGGCTGTGGGGAGGCTGCAGTGACAATGTGGGCTTCGGAGAGGCAATTTCCAAACAGTTTGTCGATGCCCTGGAGACAGGACAGGATGCCCGGGCAGCCATGAATCTGCACAACAACGAGGCCGGCCGCAAGGTGAGTCCCTGAGATTAGTCAGCGGGCTGCTCCATCAACTACCACCAGCTCGAGGTGCGGGCAACTCTTGGGTTCATTTAACAGACTGCCAACGGGCTGGCCACGCAGACTAGCCATGCGCCTCGGGAGGCAGGCCTCTTACTCCTAGCTCTCTCCCCAGGCGGTGAAGGGCACCATGAAACGCACGTGTAAGTGCCACGGCGTGTCCGGCAGCTGCACCACACAGACCTGTTGGCTGCAGCTGCCCGAGTTCCGCGAGGTGGGCGCGCACCTGAAGGAGAAGTATCACGCAGCTCTCAAGGTGGACCTGCTGCAGGGTGCGGGCAACAGCGCGGCCGGCCGCGGCGCCATCGCCGACACCTTCCGCTCCATCTCCACCCGGGAGCTGGTGCACCTGGAGGACTCCCCGGACTACTGCCTGGAGAACAAGACTCTAGGGCTGCTGGGCACCGAAGGCCGAGAGTGCCTGCGGCGCGGGCGGGCCCTGGGCCGCTGGGAGCGCCGCAGCTGCCGCCGGTTGTGCGGGGACTGCGGCCTAGCTGTGGAGGAACGCCGCGCAGAGACCGTGTCCAGCTGCAACTGCAAGTTCCACTGGTGCTGCGCTGTCCGCTGTGAGCAGTGCCGCCGGCGCGTCACCAAGTATTTTTGCAGCCGCGCGGAGCGGCCGCGGGGAGGCGCAGTGCACAAGCCAGGGAAGAAAGCCTAAGAGTCGCCTCTCCTGCCTCCTTCCCCCATCTGTCCTTGACTTCTTTTAGAGACCCCAGTAATAGAGGAACCTAGGGAATGGGGACCCCACATTCCCAAGCCCAGAGATCCTGAGAGAAAGAGACTGCAATCTCTCCAGAGCTTGCCATTTTCCAGATTTCTCTGCTCTCTCCTAGAGCTGGCTCAGCATGGTATTTGCAGTCCACACTTAGGTCTGAGAACTGTTCTAAGATCCAGTACTGTTGATGGGCCTTGGACTAGAATGAAAATAGGCGTTCTTCTCCCTTCCCGCTTCCCCGCCCCCAGCTGCCCTAATGCCTGACCTAGTCTACCAAGCCCTAGGAACTGAAGGACCTTCTCAGATCACAGAGGCCAGGGATGGCCTTTCTCTTTTACCCACTGTCTGCTACCAGCTCTCTACCACAGCTACATGTCCCTTTTGCAGAGCCCCTCCTGTACTTCTGATTTCCTGCTGTTGACACAGACTCTTCAGGAATCTCTAACACTTTCTCTTCTTTTCCCCTTCCCCTTTCCCTGAAAAGACACAGTGAGAAAACTAACCTGGGAACTTGCATGAGGTGGGTTCCTAGAGGCAGAGGTTGAATATGGGGGAAGAAGGAACCCTAGAACCCTGACTTGCTGAACACCAAGTCTGCTACTCTTCTTTATGCCACACCATGGTGTCATTACCAGTGGGACAATGACCTTCCTAAACAATCACCTAGAGTACTCCCGAGAGGTCTAGGAACTATGTGGCAGATTACCATTAATTTCCTATTCTTCAAAGTTACCTTCCCCCTGCTCCTGGCAATTTCTACTTCCCTAAAGGAGCTTTGTTCCTCTGAGCCAAGACTGAGGTAAACAAAGCCATCTTCCCACTCAGATCCTGATCAGCACCTCTAAAGGCAAGCCATAGGAAAAGAGAAGGTGGGTCCTTTTCTTTCACTCACCTGATTCTCAAACAGGCAGGAATCAGGGCATTGGATGCCTTCCTTCAATAAGTAAACTTCCTTCAATGAAAGTGTTGCTAATAGGAAATTGAGCACCTTGAACTTTAATTTATTGAGGTCATTGTGATATGTGCCGCTTTTTCCAGGCACTGAACTTATTCCTGGGGATGTAGGGGTAGGCTGAGGTAGAAGATATAACTTCTAGACTCTCTTCTTCCTCATACCTTGGCAGGATACCTTCGTCCCTAAGTAGTTAGTCATCAGGCTAACTACTTCCCTGGTGACCTAAGTAGTTAGCCTGACTTGACTGAAGCTAATCTGCTAAGGGTTAGTAAAGCAACCACATAAATCTTTCACTAATACAGTCACTTGGAAGCCAAGAGCTTGCTGCTTATAGTGTTTCAATTTCTGGTTCCATTCTCAGAGAGAAGCAGTTTTGCAGGGACTTCTTTATGAAAAGGGCCCTGGGGCAGGGAGGACCAAACCCTGACAGACCCTCTGCAGTTTCCCAGCCTATTTTCTTGCCACAGGCCAGTCCTGGGTACAGACAAGAGCTGCTAGACCCCTCATCTCTCTGCTCCCCAAGTAAGAGGAAGTACAGAGATCACTGGGGGCCAACCTGAGTATTGGGACGCTCCAATTGTCCCAATTGCTCCAAACAAAGACAATGGCCAAGTCAGACCCCAGACCCCTGGCCTCACTTCTACACATCTTCTGGTCCTACTAACACTCTCCCAAGAGAAGTCCCCCTTCCTTACCAGAGGATACACTTCCCTTTAGAATCTCTTAAAGCTTCACTTCCAGGTCTGTCAGCAAAAGGCCCTTGCTGTTGCCCTCAGCTCTTATCTATGCCTCCTGAGTCTACCATGTCTAATCAGTTAGCCAGCTGTCCCACTTGGCAGAGTTTACTTGACAGTGTACAGGAAGAAAATCTAGTAAGCGACCTACAAAATATGTATGTATAATGTTGGAAAGTAAAGCTGCATTCTCCAGGTAGTCTCTCAGCACAAAGGAGAGCTACTCTGCTTCAAATGAAAACTCTAAAAAATAAGTCAGGGGCTCACAGAGTAGCTCAAGAGTGCCTGCCTAGAAAGCATGAGGCCCTGAGTTCAAACTCTAGTGCCACCAAAAAAAAAAATTATGAAAACCCCAAGTCAGTACTTTAAACAGGTCATGCTGCTGGGAAGCTCTTTCATAGGTTACATTTTTGGATAATGATTGACACCAGATTTATTCAAGATTGATAAAGAAAATAATGCTGAGCTACCTTGGATCTGTATTGCTTTTTTGCATTACCCATTCATTCATTCATTCATTTGTTCACTCAGTGAACACTAGAGTGAACAACACACTAACATCCCTGCATTCATGGGTTCTCACTTTATACTCAGTCACCAGGGCTGTTTTCCTTCATAGACACGGACAACTCCAAAGCTGTTAACTGGGAAGGCACCTTTGAGGTCAGCTAGTCAAACGTTTTGTTTTACAGATTTGAACTGATGCTGAGAAAGATGACTGGCTAGCAGTTACCTCGGGGTGAGTACTGGAACCCAGGCCCCTTCCCTCTTGTGTGCTCTTTAGGAGCCCATCTGTCTCAGCCTGAGGATACAAATAGAGGGAGGTCCTGAGAAGTGACAAGAACACTGGGTGGGATGGGCAAAACACTGTCTCCTTCCTGTCCCTGGCCTGTGAGCCTACACACAGGCAGGGCTTTCTTTTTTCTGAAAAGAATCCCAGCCTCAACTGGCCTTAGCAGCAGGTCAGGGCAAAGACAGAGGCAGGGTCGTCCTGGGTGCACCGGTGGTGCGGATGGTGGTGGGAGGGGAGGGCAAGCCAGGGCACTCGCCTATTGTGGGTCTGGATTGGATGCTTCCACTCATTCATTTCCTTTTAATTAACCTGCATTCCTCAAGGAGAAATATTTATGTTGGCTCCCATAGAGGCAGTCCTCAGACTGCAAAAAAGGGGGAAGAAAGCCTGTCTTAGCAAAACAATATCTCTAAAGAGCTCAAGAAGAGAAAATAGGGGAACAAAATGCCATTAAAATAGCCTTCTACCCCCACCGGAGTCAATGAAAACTTCATTTCACATGTTAATCCGCCACTCCGCCTCCTTCTCTTCTCACAACACCTTTTCCGAAAGTGTTTGGGAAAAGTCTTTGCAGTCAGTACACAGCTCCCTGCAGCTCAGACTTCTCCTTGTGTTAGTTCAGGGCCCCAAGTGGGGCCCTCGCTCCAGCAGAGGCTTTTTTCAACCCCCCTTTAATTTAAACAAAGACTTCAGAGTTCATCAACCTCCCACTGAAATTCACAGCTGCTGAACAAACTAATCCCCTCTCCCTGCCTTTCTTCCCTTCAATGGGCTCTTGGCTTCAAAGACACTTTGGGAAAGGACTTTGCTGGGGCTCACACTGCTTCATCAATAGAAGTTAGTGCAAGTATTATCTGAAGAGCAAGTGGCTTTACAAACAAATACTGCCTAACAATTCCTCCCTCCCAAACACACACATCTAGCCTGCAGACATGATGGGATCGACAACAGGATTAGGGCTTGTACCCCTGGCTTCACACCCAAGCCCTTTGTGCAGCTGAGCTCAGCCCTGAAGTGGTGTGGGGAAAACCCTGGAGGCTCAACGTCAGGCATGGGTGGACACACACACACACACATACACACACATACCAAGCAGTGTGCCCACAAATGCTGCAAAGAGAGAGTTTTGTAGCCTAAATTCATGGAGCTGGACTTGAAAAAGTTCCTTTCTTCAATTCTCCTGACTTCTGGTCTTTTCTCCCTGCCTTCCTAGAGTATAGGGAACAAGAACAGAGAGGACTCAAAAAAATAGGACCCAGAGGAGAGGAGACAATGATTAGGAGATGACTGAGGAAACCAAATCAAAGCAGCTTTATTGCACCATTAAGTACATCAGTGCATCAGTTGTAGAGTTCAGCCATAAAATACAACCAGAGAAGACAGCCCTGAGACTTGTGGCAGCTGAGGGGAGCTCCTTTGAAGAGCAGTGCCGAAAGTCAGTCTTATATTAAAGTGGCTCCTGTTCCAGAATGGGACTTAGAAGTTACAGAATGGATAGCCTAAGGCCTTGGGCTGGGCTCAAGTCTAGGCAGTCAAAGGAAGTTCCCTAAAGGCTGTGGTCCCTCTGCTGCTATCTCATAGCCTAAGACACCTTCCACCTGCCCCCTAACCTAGCCCACCCTGAATAATGTTCCTCCTTCTGTTCTGCTTAGCACCCATCATCCCATTTCTCCCCCAGCCCCTAGGGTTACAGAGGAATATGGCCCTGGAAATATGAAGTTAGAAGCAGGAAGAAGGTAAGGCCAGGATCATAAGCCCCAGAAGGGAAAATCAAAAGACCCACAAGATGGGCCACAGCAGAGGTAGACTCGGACACAATGACCCTGTTCACCCTCTCTGAAATCAAGAGAACAGAATATCCCTTGGGGAGAAGACACCCTGGTGCGGTCCTGTCAGAGTTCTGCAGTAGGGAAAGTAAGACATGGCTGTATGCCCTGACTTCCTGGCTGAGGGTCAGCCTCAGACAGCCAGGCATAAAGAGGTAAAAAGCAGGCCCTCAGCTGGTTTGAAGCCTAGCCCACAGCATCACATACCTGGCAGCAAGGGGAAGAGGGCTGGGAGAAAGAAACACAATCTATTGCAAAACTCCCCTTTTCTGCAGGGAGGAGTTGAGTAACAGCAGAAGAGGCCTCTTGGTGGGAGAGCTGCCTGGCTTTGCCCTGCAGTTTATGAGCAATGGTGAGAACACCCTTTAGGACAGGCATGAAGCTGGATACTTCGCTGAAGTTGCTGCTGCCCACCATCTGGGCATGCACTGTGAGACCCTGCTCAAAGCTTCCTGCATCCACACATCGGGCAACCTCGTGGAGCCCAGCCAGGACATGGGGCAAGAGCTGTGGAGGGATTAACCCTTAGGTTAGCAAACCCAATCCAGTCCTCTACACTGGCAGCATGGAAGGGATAGGAGGACTCAAGTTCCAGAGTCCAGTCCAGGAGGAGAGGAGGGGAGGTTTGTGAGACCTATGGGAAGAAAAGACACTGGGCTTCCTTTGGTCATGGGGTGGTACTGGAACGGCATGAGGCAGAGAGAGCACAACTAGGTACTTACTGTCCCCTCAGAGAGCTTCTCATATAGACATTCTAGACGTTGGGCTGCCTCGTCCAGCTTCCTTTTTGTCTTCTGCAGGGAGAGAAATGGATTCTGATCCCACCCCCAAGTCTAATATTATACAGGGCTATAAATAATCACAGTATATTAAAACTAGAATGGTTCAGTGCTACTCCTTCATTTCACAGAGGAGGAAATAGAGGTCCAAAGATGGTAAGGGACTTGCTCAGATTGACACACCTAGCGAATAAATGGCAGCTTTCCTTATTGCTGGCTTCACCTCCTTCCAATACTCCCTGCTGCCTCTAAGTCTCCATGCTCTATGGTCCTCCCATTGAGGAGCTGGACTTCAGACCAGACTCCAAGTCCCTCTCTTACTCTGCATGGACATCAAAGAAGTACAAGATATAGTTAACAACAACAGGGATGGTGAGGGAACTGGTCAACACCTGTGGTGTCCTGGAACTAGAAAGGGTTGAGGGCATAATGGGAAGGTTCAGACTTACTAAGTCAGTTGCAGACAGGGAGCAGCGCTGGAGAAGAGCCTCAAAACTGGTCTTCAAGGGCTGATGCTCCGGGGGCAGCTCCTTCCTTTCCATTTTCTTAGGAGACAGTTGCCAAAGTTGCTAGTGAAGGAGCAGGGAGAAAGGACAGGCAGGCAAATTGTCTGCACAGCTTCCCTCAGGTCTAGTCCTCAGTGACTCAGAGTCACACTGTTCTCATTAGAACACAGCAGAGTTGGAGAGAAGGGCCCCCTCCCCTTTTCTGCAGTAAAGACACCTTCACCTCAAGGATTGACTCAACCTTAAGGAATGAGCCCTGCTACCATATTCCCCATGTTTCTATACCCAAGTAGGGCTGGAAGGTTTCCCAGGGGAGGGGAACACATTGTCTCTGTCACCTGCAGGCTGAGTTCTCCTGGAGCTCCAGGGGGAGTGTGACTCACACTGGAGACAGAGGACTGTGATGGCAGGACCCACTTGGGCTCAAGGCCAAGGCTCATAAATGGAGCAGTAATTGGTGCTGGAGGCATAAATGTCTCTGGCAGCTAAAGAGAGTTAAAAAAAAGGACGGGGGGGCACATGAGTCTAAACTGAGAGATGCTATAGGCTCTGTTTGGAAGAAATTACAGTGAACAAAGAAACAGGATAGTAAGTGGGGAACTGGGAAATGGAAAGACTGGTGAACGTATGTAGGAGGGAAAGAGGGCAATGCTGATGAAGACTGATTAGAAGAACAGAAAGGCTGGAGCCAAATCCTGTAAGAAACTAGAAAGTGAGTCACTGGTGAATGTGAGAGGTTGGGTGGGGAAAGATGCACTAACCTTTTTTGTCTGAAGGTTTCCCCTGGGGACTGGAGTAACTTTCCAGGAAACTTGATGTCCTGTAGAATAAAAAGACAAGAGATTTTTAGGATATGGCCAGGAACTTTGGAAATGTTTGGTCTGAAAGCTTGAAAAAGTTGTTTTAATTGGAGTCTGCCATACATCCCTCTAAAGATCAGCCACACCCCTACTTGACATTCTCTAACACAAAGAACCCCAGTTTACTAACTTGAAGAAAAGGGTTCCCAAGGTAGTGGTGGGGAAGGGAGAAGAGAGAGAGATGCATTAACCCACAAGAAGGAAACCTTGGAAGGAACACTGACCTGGATGAGGAGTCAAGATACCAGTGGTTGGGAGGGCACTAGAACATGAAACACCTGGCCCTCCAGGAGGGTAAGTCACAGGGAAGCTGGTAGGAGGGACTAGGGTCTGGGATGTCAGAGGGATGGGACATGGTGCTCCTATAGGAGGCAAAGGGAATAGCCTAGGAGTCTCAGGCAGGTAGAAAGAGCCAGGCTACATGATGTTTGGGGGTGCCATGGGTGAAGAGAGACCAGGAAGAGGCCATGTTCCAGGAAATTCCACAGGGTTGGGAGCTTGCATCCTTTGTCTTCCTAACAGCTGCAGCTGAGATAAATCTGAAGCAGAAAAGAAATAGGCCATGCCACTATACTTCACTTTGAGAGAGCACACACACAAGGGAGAAATAAGTCAGCAATTTAAAAAAAAAAAAAAAGAAAGCTAAGCCAGATATGCTGACATACACCTATATCCTAGCTACTTGGGAAGCTGAGGCAGGAGGGATCCTTGAGCCCAGACTAGCCTGGGCAACATAACCAGACCTAGTCTCAAAAAAAAAAAAAAAAATCCACAACTGATGATAATAATGAACAGTTAGTACATATGTATAGAGATCTATAATTACAAAGAACTTTTACCTATATTCCTTATTTGACCCTCAAATTAATCCTATAGGATTGAAATAACTAACGTAACTACTTTGGTATGTTGCCAAAAGGTAAAAAGCCTTCCACCTAAGAGACAGCATTAGGAATTCAGCAAGGTTTAGTATTATGAATTTAGACTTCAACTTCCAAGCTCTTTCCTCAAAAGAAATTTTTAAAAATTGAATTTAAAAAAATACTAAGCTCTTATCTCTATGCACAACCAGCATGGATTTGTGTGTCTTTCCTGAGATCTCTGTACTCTGCCCAGATAGATTTTCACTCACTCACTCACCAGGCCTTATCCCAGGGCCCAAAGGCAAAACCTGGGCTGTCTGGGGCCCAGGAGCCCTGTAGTCACTTAAAGTCTGTGTCCTCAAGCCCTGAAAAGGAGTAGGATGGGAGGGTATCAAGGGCATCACTAGTGATGACTGAGTTGTGGCCCTTGGCCTTGAAGATAGAGTTGGGATCTGTTAAAAAAAAAAAAAAGTGTCATCTCTTAGAAAGAAAAGAAGGTAAACAATTGAGTTCAGAAAGAATACAGAAAATTAATGAAATAAAAACTAGTTCTTTGAAAAAGTCAATAAAGTTGATAGTCCTTTGTAAAGACTGATAAAGATAAAAAAAAAAAGGAAGGCTGAGATATAGCTCAGTGGTAAAGCACTTGTCTAGCACGTGCAAAGCTGTGGGTTTGATTCTCAGCACTGCCAAAAAAATAAAAAAAGAAAGAGAAGCTGGGCACAGGTGGCTCACACTTGTAATCCTAGCGACTTGGGAGACTGAAATCAGGAAGACTGCAGTTTGAGACCAGCCCTGGCAAATAGTTTGGGAAACCCTAACTCCAAAATAACCAGAGAAAAATGCACTAGAGGTGTGTCTTAAGCAGTAGAGCACCCTGAGTCCAAACCCAGTCCTACCAAAATGAAACAAAAAGAGAAAAGACATAACTCTTCAATACCAGAGTTTCAATAGGAAATATTACAATAGACCTCAAAACCATTAAAATTATAACAAAGGGATACACAAAAAAAAGGAATACTTAAATAACTTTAAGTTAACCTAATCAACCACTTAGAAGAAATGACCAATTCTTCAAGAAACTAAAGCTTCCAAAACTCAGAAAGATAAACTAAATAGTCCTACAACCATTTAAGAAATTGAATGGCAAGATGGCGCTCACGAGCCTCCTATAGTGAAATCTTGGAGAGACGCTGGAGACACATTTTGCAGGCATAATCACTGAGAAAAGGCATAACTTTGACCCCTCCACATCTCCAGCCGGCGCAGAGAATCTCCACTTCACGTTAAACGGAGAAACGAGGAGGGCCCCCAGGCCGCCAGTGGCCGGCACCCACTGGGAAGACGCGGACCAGCTTACTGTCAATTAGTACACTAACACTCCCTGTTTATACCTTTGAAACTCTCTTGTCTGATACCTTGTTCTGCTTTCTCCCTCTTGTCTGTATATTTGTTTTCCCCTTTTCTTTAACTTCTTGCTTTCCATCTCAGCTCACCCTTCCATTCTAAATATTACCATTGTTATTATTACAAGCTAGAAAATACTTAATTGCACACAGTACACAGACAGTAACAACACCAACGACAATGACGGGAAGACAGAAAAAACAGGGAAACCAGTTTCCCCACAGCAAAAAATTAGTACAGGAACCAGAGGGGAATGAAGAGAATAGAAACTCAGATCCAGACTCCAACAAAATGAAGATAAACTATGCCAAAGGACCCAATGAAGCCCACAAGAATAGTTTAAAAGAAGACATACTACAAGTACTCAATGAGAATTTTATAGAGATGATACTGGATAGGGTCAACCAAAATGTACAGGAGATACTCAAGAAATTCCAAGACAACAAAAATAGAGAATTTGAAAAAGCAAAAGAAGAAATAAAGGAAACCATAGAAGCACTGTATAAACACCAAAGTGAAAGAGAGAACACAATGAATAAATGGATAAATGAACTCAGGACAAAAATAGACAACATTAAAGAGGAAAAACTGCCAGGATATGGAAAACCTCAGAAAAAAGAACGAAACAGAACTGCAAAACAAAACGGAAGGCCAATCCAGCAGAATAGAACAAACAGAAGACAGAATCTCAGAACTTGAAGATGAAATGGTAATTAAAGGAAAAACTGAAGAACTATTAATTAAACAACTCAAGACCTGTGAAAAGAAAATGCAAGAACTCACTGACTCCATCAAAAGACCAAACTTGAGAATCATGGGCATCGAAGAAGGAGAAGAGGTGCAAGCGAAGGGAATGCGTAATATATTCAACAAAATAATAACGGAAAATTTCCCAAATCTAGAGAAAGATATTCCCATACAGATGCAAGAGGCCTCCAGGACACCAAACAGACCAGATCAAAATAGAACTACTCCACGACATATCATCATTAAAACAACAAGTTCAGAAACTAAGGAAAGAATATTGAAGGCTGTAAGAGAGAAAAAACAAGTAACATACAAAGGTAAACCCATCAAAATCACAGCAGACTTCTCAACAGAAACATTAAAAGCAAGAAGAGCGTGGGGTGAGATCTTCCGGGCACTGAATGAAAATAACTTCAACCCCAGGATACTCTACCCAGCAAAGCTATCATTCAAAATAGATGGAGCAATAAAAGTCTTCCATGATAAGCAGAAACTAAAACAATATGTGACCACAAAGCCACATTACAAAAGATTCTGCAAGGGATCTGCACACAGAAAGTGACACCCAACTTAACCATGAAAAGGCAGGCAGCACCAAACCACAGGATAAGAAAAAGCAAGACAGTAGAGAGTAACATCAAGTTAGGTACACACAATCAAACCTTCAAACAACTAAGATAACTAAATGGCAGGAATCACCACATACCTATCAGTACTAACACTTAATGTTAATGGACTTAATTCACCCATCAAAAGACACCATTTGACAAAATGGATTAAAAAAAAAATAAGATCCAACAATTTGTTGCTTACAGGAGACTCATCTCACCGACAGAAATAAGCATATGCTTAGGATGAAAGGCTGGAAGAAGATTTACCAAGCCAATGGCCCCCAAAAACAAGCAGGAGTAGCAACACTTATCTCTGACAAAGTAGACTTCAAACCTACATTGATCAAACGAGATAAAGAAGGACATTCCATACTAATAAAAGGGGAAATAGACCAAAAGGAAATAATAATCATCAATCTGTATGCACCCAATGTCAACGCACCCAATTTCATCAAACATACCCTGAAAGACCTAAAAGCATATATAAACGCCAACACAGTGGTTGTGGGAGACTTTAACACTCCATTATCATCAATAGATAGGTCATCCAAACAAAAACTCAATAAAGAAATCCAAGATCTAAAATATGCAATAGATCAAGTGGACCTAGTAGATGTCTACAGAACATTTCATCCAACTCTACACAATATACATTCTTCTCAGCAGCCCATGGAACCTTCTCCAAAATAGATCATATCCTAGGGCACAAAGCAAGCCTCAGCAAATATAAGAAAATAGAAATAATACCGTGCATACTATCTGACCACAATGCAGTAAAAGTAGAACTCAACAACAAAAGTAAAGACAAAAAAGATGCAAACAGCTGGAAACTAAATAACTCATTACTTAATGAAGAATGGATCATCGATGCAATAAAAAGGAAATTAAAAAGTTCCTAGAAGTCAATGAAAATGAAAACACAACCTACCGGAACCTATGGGACACAGCTAAGGCAGTCTGAGAGGAAAGTTTATAGCCATGAGTGCATATATTAAAAAGATTGAAAGATCCCAAATCAATGACCTAATGATACATCTCAAACTCCTAGAAAAACAAGAACAAGCAAATCCCAAAACAAATAGAAGGAGAGAAATAATAAAAATAAGAGCTGAAATCAACGAAATAGAAACCAAAAAAACCATACAAAGAATTAATGAAACAAAAAGTTGGTTCTTTGAAAAAATAAACAAGATCGATAGACCCCTGGCAAACCTGACTAAAATGAGGAGAGAAAAAACCCAAATTAGTAGAATCAGGAATGCAAAAGGGGAGATAACAACAAACACCATGGAAGTCCAGGAAATCATCAAGACTACTTCGAGAACCTATATTCAAATAAATTTGAAAATCTAAAAGAAATGGACAGATTTCTAGATACATATGATCATCCAAAACTGAACCAAGAGGAAATTAATCACCTGAATAGACCTATAACACAAAATGAAATTGAAGCAGCAATCAAGAGTCTCCCCAAAAAGAAAAGTCCAGGACCTGATGGATTCTCTGCTGAATTCTATCAGACCTTTAAAGAAGAACTGATACCAACCCTCCTTAAACTGTTCCATGAAATAGAAAGGGAAGGAAAACTGCCAAACACATTTTATGAAGCCAGTATTACACTTATCCCAAAACCAGGCAAAGACACCTCCAAAAAGGAGAACTATAGGCCAATCTCCTTAATGAACATTGATGCAAAAATCCTCAACAAAATAATGGCAAACCGAATTCAGCAACACATCAAAAGATTATTCACCACGACCAGTAGGCTTCATCCCAGGGATGCAGGGGTGGTTCAACATACGAAAATCAATAAACGTAATAAACCACATTAACAGAAGCAAAGACAAAAACCACTTGATCATCTCAATAGATGCAGAAAAAGCCTTTGATAAGATCCAACATCATTTCATGATAAAAGCTCTAAGAAAACTAGGAA